TTTTATTGCTAAATGTAAACATCTTTTAATGTCTTTTAGTCATGCAATGACGATGTCAGATCCTGGATTTCTTTATATATATATTCTATGTTTATGTAATAGCCCGTTATCAATAAAATAAAATAACTTTGATTTAAGTGACGACATTTATGTATTATATCGAATAATTGATGAGATTTATGGAAATATATTTGCACTGCGTCGTCGTTTTGTGAAATGAAAAAGTGTCAATCATTTACTGTAAATAGCAATAAACTGCACTAAATAATTTACGTCCTTATTCTAAATTGCTTTACAGTACAGAGTACATAAACAGTGTTCAATACATAGCCATACAGTTAAAATGTATACAACATGCAACAAAAAGGCTCACAAAAGGTGTTTTTCTAACGTTCTAGATAGCACGTGTGCATTGCGCGTATGGATATATTTCACGACGGTTTTTTGTAGGACTACCCCGGTCTCACATTGATGTTGGTTATAACTGGTTTAACGTCCCTTCTCGATAGCACGAGTGTATTTCGCATTTCGCGTATGGATATATACTAATAATAATAATAATTCGAGGTTCTTATATACCGCCTTATCACAACCTTGTTCGTAAGTCGTCTCAAAGCGGTTCACAAATTATTATCCGTGGTTATAGGGCCTTTGCAACCAGCCAATATCGTTCTCAACTCCCTGGGGAGCATACAGCCGGTGCTGCCATTTCGGCGCTCACAGGTAGCATTCTACAAACCTAGCACTGCCCAACCACGTACTCATTTACAGCTGAGTAGACTGGAACAAGTGGAGTAAAGTATCTTGCTCAAAGATACAACACAGAGCCGTGCCGTGACTCGAACCCGCAACCCTTCGGTCACGAGCCCGGCGTCCTACCACTAGACTACCGCGTCTCCTCAAATATATCTATTTCACGAGAGTTTTTAGTATGGACTACGCCGGTCTCACATTGAGGTTGGTTTTACCGGGTTTAACGTTACTTTTTCTGAGGACGTGACATTATTTGTATTTGACCTAGATTTACAAAGTCGGTGTTGTTAATGAAGAAGAAGACGCCTGATCTTGAGGATCACCTAATCGTATTATTTTGGTACTTCTCCTATGATCTCCAAACGTTCAGCATTTAGGGTAATGGCAACAACTGGTTCACCCGTTGTCAGTAAAATGTGACCGGGCGGAATGCTGTGCTGGGTGCTTTCGGCATTGTATTTCAGTGAGATAGCACTATAAAGTAGGCATCAGATCCGCGCTATCACAAGGAGGCAATTACACCCACATACCCTGTCTTCGGCACACATACACACGTGCATGCTTACACAACACACATGCATGCTTGTCCTTAAATGACATGAGCTGTTAATAGGACGTTAAACAAAATAAAACCAAACCAATCATATGAGCAACATTTGAACCTGCCTTTGTTCATATTATGTCCTCAATTTATCGATTTTAAGTTCGAATGACTGCTTTTATGATACCTCCGGTTTTTTTTATTGCTTTTTTCGATATGCGCCTCCTTTCCAAAAGGAGCTTCAAACTAAGAATCTTTAAAGTATCCAATATAAATGGCGAGTTGTATTGAATTGTAATACTGTGGCAGACATTTATCAAATCGGTTGCAATAACGCTACCGTCTCTATCGCTGTGGCAGAAACTACTCGTCACGACTTACCTAAAGCCACGCGTAATTGAAGACCATCAACTATTTGCTTACCTTAACTGACCTGGCGCGGGATAATTTCCGCCTGTTTCTACCACAGTAATGTCATTTTCTGCGATATATGTCGCATCCAAGATCGTAATGTAATTTTAGGCTATAACTGTCAGTCTGGAAAATACGAAGAAACACATTTATTGCGAGACCTTTTGGATACACCAAAACAGATACTCAGAAATCCCGTCTATATGAAGACCTCCGTGTTATAGCGCGAACGAAAATGATAGGAAAAACACGTCTACCAAAGACCTTTATAACCCTAAATAAATGCCGCACCATAAAAAACACACAGATTTGTTAGACTTGTCTGTGGGATGTGAAAGAAAAACAGATTTGAAATATTAAAGTCATAAAAACCAGGATCGATAAAGTAGTTAAGTCTAGAGAAAAGATGTTCCGGTAAAAGTGACCAATCATTTTAACACAGGTCTCCCATTTTATGCCGCCGTAAATAAAGACCAATCATAGGCTATCTATTTCTGTTCTGCGGAACTTCAAACAACTGTCCCGGAGATATGGGAACTCTTTTGTGATGGAGGGTGCAATAAATGTTCACCAATCATCCTCTGGGCAAGAGTGTGAGATTGAACAGGATGACTTTAACACCGGGAGGGTGGAACATTATGTAACAACAGGATACCCCCAGCAGCACGTGAGGTGAAAATTAGTAAAGTGGGGTCAGGCAATGTTAAAATGATAGTTACAGAATAAAGATCAAGCTATCTTGTCATTTCGATAACTGCCCATCGGAGTGAAAGGTGAAAATGATTTAAATACTTCGAACAAATGATGCCTGCTCCGTGGATTGTTAACTGTATGACACAATGATGAAGCAGTCAGACTATCAAAAGAAATCAAATACAACTACGCCATTTTATATAATCCTACCCTCAAATCACAATTAATGACATTTGATTTAGCAAATTGCCGCTGAAGACACTTTTTGTAGTCGGGTATCAATTCGGTCGATCAAAATACTCTAGCCTTCTTTTGTCTCCCGCTGATCTATTGACTCGCCATGTCAAAATTATCTCTATCATAGAGAGTAACAACAGGGGAGGTAACCCATTAATGTAACTCTATGCAGTTTATATAATTACTATGGTAACATCACCGTCCCAGACAAGCAGTTGTTATCTTCTTAATGTGCTTGGCTAATATTTCAACCATTCGAATATTTGTTTTTGTTTCAATTCTTTTATTCCACCGATATTAATCACTTGTATTCGTTCAGAAGTGTGAATACGGGATCTCTCATTTCAATAGCCTTTATTTTATTTTTATATATTTCCGTGATATCACAAGCCCCCATTATCTTTGGGTCGTAAAGAATTGTATAGATACCCTATTATGTCGTCACAGACAAACGACGTCACTGACTGGAGGATATCCTAGGTATTGACGCTGATTTTAAGAAGGTTTATCAAATATGATGTTTTGATAAGTTAAATGTATACTTTTTACGTGGAATCATTGCAATACATTCGTTCGGTATTTTTTCTGTGACCTTGATTCACCCTTTTAGTTAACGAATGAATGGTTTTTGCAAATGTTGTTATTGTCCTATATTGCTATTGATGACAAACTTAATGAAAGTGATGGCAAAGTTTGTCGAAAATAGAAATGTGTGTTACATAACCATAACAATATTTGCTAAAAAAAAATCACTATTTATTTTTAAAGAGTAGTTATGATTCATCAAGTTATTTCGAACAGCAAATTAATTGTTGACAACAATGAAATTGATGACTTCACAAAAGATATTGATGACGTAACAATAGCAAATGTTGTTATAGTCTCATAACATTTGCCATCTCAACGCATTGCAATTGGAGGATGCAGAGTGAACGTAAATATAATATAATGGCGGATTAATGTGTCATGACTATGACGTTTTGATTCCTAGTATTACCGTACCGATATTGGAAAAAAAATACGATGCAATTTCCTTTCGACGCTATGTTGCCTTATTCTTTGGTCGGGACATACCAATGTTCTTAAAATGGCAGTTGTTGTTCCCTGCTGTATTTTCTACATTAAGGGTAAGCTTAAAAACAGGTTCCCCATTGTCATGATAATGTGACTTTGTAGAGTGGTGTGCTGGGTGACTCCGGTATGATTTTGATTCAGTGAGGTAGCTCTCTAAAGCAGACATCATATCCGCGCAATAGCATATAGGTAGGATTGGTTTGGTTTGGTCTGGTTTAGTATTGTTTAACGTCCTATCAACAGCTATGGACATTTAAGAACGGCCTCCCCTATGTGCAAGATGTATGCGTGTAGTGTATGCGTGTGTGTTTTGGGAGGCTGCGATATGTTCGTGTCTGTCTCCTTGTGATAGCACGGAACTGATGCCGACTTTATAGTGCTACCTTACTGAAACATACTGCCGAAAACACCCAGCAGGACACCCACCCAGTCACATGATACTGACAACGGGCGAACCAGTCGTCCCACTCCTAAATTGCTGAGCGTTAAGCAGGAGTAGAATTTACCATTTTTACAGACTCTTGTATGTCTCGTCCAGGGGACAGAACCCAAAGCCTTCCTCACAGGAGCGAACGCTCAACTAAAGGCCAAAAGTGAAGTATTGTCAAGGGAGACATCAGGAAGACGAAAGTTGTAAAGAAAGAAGAGAAAACGAAGCAGATACATCGACAAATCACCTCAATGTATGATATTCTTCAATGACATTAGCGATTAATCGACCAATAACCCTACAAACAAAACGATATTTTCCACTGGAAAGATGAATGAGGTAGAGAAGATAATCTGAGCTCAAAAATGCCTCACAATGGAGAAAAAACATAGGCTGAGGAACGTTCATGAAACTAGGGCATGGAGGTCACATATCTTCAAAGATACAGAAGAAAGTACAGTTCATTTACAACTGCCATCAGGGCTTCATATGCAAATAAGATTACTACACGGATATATATTATTAACGAATCATCGAATGAAGTAGATATCGTAATATAACCTCTTTTTTGAAACAAATCGCAGGAACAATAAGGAAAAGGGAGCTTAGAGCACTAAAGGCAGCTAACTCTAACACAAAGGCTGTGAGTACTATGTACATAGAATATTTACTAAAATGAATTATATTTTTTTCTTAAAATCCGAAATTAAAAACCTAAATAGTTAATGGATTTCAAGTAATCACCACAAGGTTAGGAATGGACAATTCTCAATACTCCTGTAAAGTACTGGCTGATTGCGTTTGATTGCAGTTCACACATCATATGATACATTTATACACTCCATGTGTAATCAAACTCACCTGACGAGCAAATATTAATCCCAGTAAAACAAGGACAGGATATCACCACCATTCCTGGCACGTATTAGTGAGCAGTAAACAGGTTTAGGAAATGTCACACAGTTTTACTCGTTAATTAAGATGTTACCTGGGGTTACCTGTGGGACGCTGGTTATCGAGCCATCAGGCGCCCCATACTACCTGTTTATACAGGTGACCAAGACGTGACTTCCTAAACATAAAGACCTAAACACAGGTAGGTAAGCTAGGATACCTAGGTAGGCACAGCTGAGATACCTGGGCAGGTACCGACCCTAACATTGATAACGTGTCGGGCATCTTAGGTCACAGCGAGAACTGTTTCTTGTATTATCTCTTAAAGAATGTATTTATTTTATATCTATGACGTGCAAATATAAATTTGAATTGTTTGTTTGCAAATAATCCAAACTATTTCATTATATACATTTTCGCCGTTTATTAATTAATTAGTAATTCATGTCATGTGCAATATAATATACATTTCACCCTTTTCGCCGCATTGCTGTTGTGATTATATTAAGTGAAATAAATGTACTGCGCACTGGTACATGTATAGCTTGTTTGTATCAAGTATCAAAGAAATTTTAAAATAACATATTTTTTTCATTTACAAAAATAAAAAAAATAGAAAAATAATAAAATTTACTTTTTAAACAGAAATTTAAGTTTTAACATAAATCTTAATAACGATGTTGTCAATGGCGGCATATCCTGTTCTACATTCATAATATCAAATGCTATGATTGTTAACCATTTCACCTCTACGTAACTTTAGTAGACTCTACCAATCATTGATATGGATGAGTCCAGTATGGTCTACAGTGGTGAAAGGGTTAAGCACGCCTCTCGTTTGTGTGTATGTAACATTCATATGTCAAGAGACAAGATGGTAGACTCTGCTGGTGGATTTTTAGTCCCCTTGGATTGCCATAACCTTCCTGACCACAACTATTTCTTTTGAGTACTGGCATGTTTCATAATATACACACCCTATTTATCAACTTGAAATGAACCAGTACTCTTAATTTTCAAAATTCATAAACGAATAATTTTTATGAACCTCTCCGTCTATTTCAACAGTAGTTTGGACTAATTGGAGTTCCGATTTTGGCCTCTAGCATCACCAATGAGTCCTGGGAAAACGAAACAGCTGTATTATGCAGTGAGATTTTTGGTACTGTATCTATAACGTAATTTTAAGGGTGCCAATCACCTGTGTGTATAACGTTCATCTTTAAACCGTATTTTATTTAATAATCAAACATGTTTGTTACATAACTATGATTTGAGAGGCATGAGGTGTGGTATTTTCATTTCTAACTTGTATTCAGATTCTGGTCTTGTGTGTTGACAATGTGGTACAATCATATTGACATTGTGGTACAATCATATTGACATTGTGGTACAATCATATTGACATTGTGGTACAATCATATTAAAACCTGCATATTGTATAACGAGATATTTTCGCCCAGTTATATATTCTCTTCATAATAACTGTTTTGTATCTATATTATGAATAACCGTTGGAAAAATAAAATGATATTTTAATTTTTTGTTATGGTCCTATAACACACATTTCTATTGTTGACAAACTTACACAAAGCCCTACGGGGCTGACTTTATTAAGTTTGACATCGGTAGCAGTGTGTGTTATATGACCATAACAACATGTGCTAAAATATTCATTGCTTAAAAATAACTGATACGATATAGTCGCTTCCATTACGGAGGACGAAAAGGGCGACCGTTACTCTGCGTCAAACATCATCCTAGCACACGGTAATACTGAATAAGGTAAATAGGAGACCTCAAGAGGCTGTCACTCTCTGTTTAGAGATTATTTCAGGGCTTACAAAATGGGGTACCTTTGACGAACTCATTTCTGTTCAGATTGATAATAAACAAATACCCAGAACCACCCTATAGTGTGAAAACAGGTATAAATACCCATAAAAGTGTCACTCTTACCACCAATAGAAGTCAAGATTAGGGTGTTTTTTGTTTTAAAGCCTCTTGTTTTTACGTAAGTATGTAAGTAGATTGTATATTAAAGTTTGACATAGCTCTCGTGTTTCGTGCTGATAAGATTTTATACCCATAATCCCTTACTGATAACCTAGTATAACAGTTGTTAGACATTTGAAAGTAAAGTTTCTTGTTTTCACACGTGGCCATGACCTTAGGGCTAAGGGTACGTAGATAACACCTCTTATAACACTTAAGGATAACTGTCCCTCTGCATTTGTTTTTTCCATATATACAGAAACTCTCCCTTAATTACCTTTAGGGAATAACAGTAGCGCTGTTGCACATTGACAGGATAATTCCGTCGACCAGGTTGCTAAGTCGCTAAGAGCAACAGTATAACATTCTGAAGTCCTGGTCCCGTATTCATGAAGCCGTTCTCATGCTCAAGCATGGATTCTTTGCTCAAGCCTAATTTCTTGTTATGGTTATAACTCAATATATAAATCTTACTTTGTCAATGATTTGGAAACATTTTGAAGAGACTTAGGGCCAAATACTGTTTTCAATGTTTACATTTGACTTTTTGATCGTTTGACATGATCAGAGTTACCAGAAAGTTGATTCCATGGTTGAGCATGAGAACAGTTTCATGAATACGGGCCAAGGGTTCGAACCCGAGTGTAGCTTCCGCCACATTTTTACGATTAGAAAACTGTTGCTGATTTTATTTTGTATCTTGAAAGACAAAGAGAATAAAGCCAGGCGCTCCAGAAGGGTAAGCGTCTTCTTCTTCTTCATAAAACCCATATTGTATAACCTTACAACAAACTAATGTTGATTTCATTTCACATTTAAAGCAATTAATTTACGCCTCCCTGATATTTGAAGCACTAACGAAACTTGGTTTCGTACTTGATATGCATGTTGTAGAGTGTGGTTCGTTGTATAAACAAGTTTAAAGCAGGTTTCGGTCAATCAGATGTCATGTTTACTGTGACTTGGATTTTTCCGTTTTTACTTCTTCTTAATTTCTTACTCTTCCTTTTATTCTCTTTTTCGTCCTTTATTGTCTGCTTCTGTTCTATTTTTATTCATTTCTCACTTTCCTCCAGAATATCCTTTCTTTATCTCTCTCTTCTTCTTTCTTTAAATTTCCTTTCTCTTGCTTTTTCCTGAATTTATATAAATTTAGGAAACAAACTATCCAAACCATTCATAGAACTATTCTGAATCTCAAACTCAGATTCTGCTCCTCGAGTCCCAATCCTAGTTCCGATGATAACATTATTAAATTTCACATTTTTTATTGACTCCAAGGAATGTTAGTGACGCTTGAAGCCGAAAACCATTTGCTATGTCTATATTTACTTTTTGACTATGTCGTATTACACCAGTAAGTTACAAGATAGTGGCTTTGAAGGAATTCCAGTCTTCAGCATGAGACTGGTTTCAAGAACGTGGGCTTTGTAGACGGTCTACCCTTTACATGGATGTCGTGTAAGAGGCTTTCGTGTTAGCTCAGCGTTACCGTTACAGACGCCCCAGCTGGTCAGCAGAGCCCTGAACATGCCTTATTACAACTGTCAGAGACCCATTTCCCCTTACTGATGGCTTAAAATGGCAGACTGTAGCCCTAGGCGAGTAAACACGTCAGAAAAGTCTACGATCTAGTCAAGCATATTCAGATATGGTTAAAGTCATTTGTTAGGAAACTCATTTTCAATCAACGTCACATGCAAATCTTGTCAAGAAGTGGAGTTGTTATTACAAGATCCCCAGACGTTTATTTCTCAATATTCTCTGAAGAACAGCCAGTGTCTATAAACCATTTACGTCCAGTATGGTAGTTGGAGAGCGAGATCATCCTTACAAATTGCTTTTTTGTTAACCTCTTCATAAAAGAAATCCAGAATCTTGTAGTATCACCGTGAGAACTAGTGTTTAAAACTAACAAATGGTTAAGAAATATTTTATATAAACCCAAATCAATAAACGGGTTATGACTTTATAGCACGTCATATCATTGGATCTCTCTCAATATGTTTTGTTTATAACGACAAAATGTTCAGCCTCAAAAAAAAATTCAGAAGCAAATAACTAAATTTTAGAACTAAATTAGGATTTTATGTCAATATGCATACTGTATACTGCGCTAATTTTGTTGGGTCAAATTATCGCGGTTTAGGTCTTTGGGCAAATTCGTGGGGTTAAGCATTCCGCGCCAGATCGTCCTTAATACGTCATTATCAGATAGACAACGAGAACTCAGGTGTATATATTAAGTGTATTTTCAGGCAATACATATAGGGAAAATAAAACATCCACGATTTTTTTCCTAAGTAAAATCAAATTTGAAAAATGCTTTATACAGAGTTTGAATGTCACGATACCGTTCTTGTTTAAGTTAGCAAGGAAACAGGAACGCCGTTATATCATGTTGATCTATTCGACACTGATTTCAGATTGAAATTCACCACTTTTCTCTATTTCATTTTATTTTCTATTCAACGAAGATAATTCAAATTCCAAGACACGTATCTTGAAGCTCAAAGTTTCAGAAAAAAATTATAAGTAACATCCTATTCAAAATTTCTCTTGAAGTGATTATTACCTAATGAATCGACATAAAACCGCCTGTTTAACTTTCTATACCACGTGTACATTGTACATGACCCGACGCAAGAGTGTTTGTCTGTATTCACTCTAAAGACCTTCTATACAAACGCTTCTCAGACCCTTAGAAATGTGCTTCTGGTGTGCAGTTCATTTCAATTGAACTTGTATTTTTTGTGATGATATGATTAGCTGATGCCTCCATTGGCACGAGGTTGATGACGATGTGTCTGCATGCTGATCTGATACAGAGGTTGAGCATGTCGCGTGACCGGCTGATCTGATCAGCGCTCACATTGTATAGCTAATAAATACATACACACTCGTTCCTGACGTCGTCCAAATCTCTCATACACATGTACAGACCTAACGAGCCGGAAGAATCACATCAAAAGCTTTAGAAAATGCATGAACAAATAATAACAAAATCTATCTACCAAACCAGCAGCATTCAAACCCAGTCGCGGGAGCATTTACGGGCAGCTGCCTCTTAGAATGGACATCGTGTCAGGAGCTATATTCAACATATAGGTGTAACTGACTGGACTTTGTCACCCAATAAC